AGATGTGGCCTTATGAAAAAAATCTCACTTCTTCAAATCCATCTGTTCTGGCAGCCCTTGGCACGTCTGTGGGCACCATTGACCTTGTAATCTTACACTGCTTGGAAAAAGAATAGATGTTCTGCTGGGTAGGACTAGGCCCTGAGATGGAGATATCTGATACAAATCCCAGTTCATCTCTGTCTTTCCAAACCTGGAGCTTCAGCGCCAGCCAGCAGTGTATTTTCCTTTCCCAGCAGGGCCACTGTCACCCCCTGCTAGTGGTGAGGAGGGGCACGGGGGCATCTTCTGTGGCCTTTCTAGTGTACCTGGACCCTGTTGCCAAGAGCAGATTTGCTGCTGATCCAGAGGATGAGGCTGGAGAGAAATTGGGGGCCAAAGATCTTCACCATGGCTTGGGATGTGAGGGAATTGGGACCAGCAGAGAGGATCAGGCAGCGGGATGTGGGCTGCCTGCGACATTCCTCCTGGGATGGGAAGAGAAATGATACTGGGAAGATGCTGCCCTCACCTCTCCTGAGATTGCTCTGTCAGTGGCACAGTCGTACCCAGACGGAACATCAAAGCCACCCAGCCCAGTGAGACCAGTACGTGTGTCTCCTCTGAGTTCGTTTCAACTGCTGCTCTCCTAAGCCACGTGCACCTTGACATTGATAGCAGAGCAGGGAACTGGGTGTGGGGTCCCACCTTCTGTGCTAAGGCTCCAGTTGTGGGGCTGTCCTTGCTCGTACTGTGCTGGATGGGTGCTTTGGTACCAAAACTCTGCAGGACTTGCAGGGTGATGGCTCTGCGCTTTGGCCTCCTTGCCAGTGTAAGGACTAATGCCCAGAGTGGGAAGAGCCTGCGAGAGGCTGAGCAGATGAGAGGAACAGCCCGGGCTCCAGCTGAAATCTGCGGGAGGCACTCAGCCTTCCTGCCATCTGTTCCCCAGCTTGCAGATTGCACAGACTGGCTCCTGATTACAGAAATCTCTGTTAGGGAGCACACGACACGGGACGGAGACATGGGCAGCCACTTGGCATGTAACTGGGAAGCACCAGTGAGCCATTGCTTGTATGTCAGTGGGAGAGGTGGGTGTTAGCATGGCTGTTTAGTACCTCTTCCCCTGGAGAAGCTGCTGGAGATGCTCTGCTGAGCATGGCTGGAGGCTCTTTTGGCAGAGAAGAGGTGTGGTGAGTAGGGGAGGCTCTGCCAATGTGCTAGTGCCCAGTCTGGGTCCCCCTCCGTAGGGCTGCGTGCCCAGTGTTTGTTGGACTGAAGACCTCAGCACCCAGTCATAGCCCCTGAGCTCTTTGGGGGTTGAAGATCTCGTACAGGAGCTTGGGCTGTCTGGATGCAGCCCTCGAAGCTCAGCTGTTTCCCCCACCTTCCCTTCCTTCAATGTGTTCTGCAGAGGGCCTGGCTGCAGAGCAGCTGTTGCCTTCTTTGGCCAAGGAGCTACTGTAGGAGAGAGTCAACGCACTGGCTGGCTCCAGGGGGCACAGAGGGAGGTGGGCTTCCATGTTCCCTGTGCTGTAACGGCGTTAGTCCCAAGCTGGATTGCTCCTGGGAGCCTGGACGTCAGCCTCTCCTTTCGGGAGTGGAGAAGGAATATGGGAATGGTGTGCCTACTGTTCCTTCTTCTGTTTTTTCCTGTGTGGACTGTTGCAGCAATCTTGCAAAGCAGAGGAGTGTTGAAGGCTCATCTGACTGCACCTTGGAAAGAAGAAACCAGGTTTATCACTTCCTCTTCTGATCTTTACTTCCAGCTTTCTAACAGCTGAAGGCTGGATTTGTGCCATGCTCGCAGAGCAGGGATGTTCCCTCTTTTCTTCCCTGTCTCATGGATTGTACTGTTACAGTGGCCCTTCCTCAAGCACTGGCCTTGACCTTACCTGCCCTTGAATCTGGTGAGTGTTTCTGCCTGACCTAGCCCCACTGAATAACGTCCTGTCTGTCTGTCTGACTCTGCAGGATTGGGAGGTTCTAGTCCTGGAGAAGCTAAAGTGGGACCTGGTCTCAGTGATAGCAAACGATTTCTTGGCTCACATCCTCCATCACCTCCCACTGCCTAAGGACAAGATGGAGCTGGTGAAGAAACATGCACAGACCTTTATCGCCCTGTGTGCCACAGGTGGGTGCCTGCTCCCGCTGGAGCCACCCGCCAGGATGCTGGGAAGGGTGGGCTGGCCACTGCAGTCAGGGCAGCCTGGGCTTGAGTCAGGCCCACTGGGTCACCTGGGGCTGGTCTCCAATGCTTTCTGGGGAGCTGAATGCCTGCCTTCATTCAAATCAGAGCATTTTGCTGCTCCATGACATGTTCTCTATCCCTGACAAAGTGGGATAACAGTCCTGGGGGCTCTTAGTGGGTGCCTGGAAGATGCCAGGAGAGAGCAAAGCCGCCGTGCCACACCTCTCGGTGCGCAGGCTGCGACTGTGGGACGGCGTCCAGCTTAAAGGCAGGGTTGAATGTGAGCTGATGCTCAGCCTGTTTCCCATTACTTCACCCCCATTTCTCTCTGCTAAGCTGGAGAGACCCCTCTGTTTGGCCTTCTCTAGTTTTCCAGAGAAATCACAGTCCCAAGATCTTACCATGTACATCCTCACTAACGGCTGCTTCTTTTTGCCTCTTGTGTCCCTGTCCTGGCTCCAGACTACACTTTTGCCATGTACCCCCCTTCCATGATTGCAACAGGCAGTATCGGAGCAGCGATCCATGGCCTGACGGTCTCTGTGAACAATTTCACCGGTGAGGCGATCACCGAGCTGCTGGCCAGCATCACTGGCACGGAGGTGGTGAGTATTCACGGGGGGGAACAGCAAGGATCCGATGGAAACCCTGCTTCTTTCTGCTGCTCGCTCTTCTTGGAGGGAGAGGAAATTCGGCTGTTGATAACGATGCTGACCTCGGTTTGAGGAATGCCTGGAGATGAGTGAGCATCTCTGAACGCAGCACCCTTGGGCAGTCCCGTGGCTGCACTTGGCTCCTGGCCTCCAAGCATTGCCTGTGCGGAGCAGGATGAGCTCGGAAGCCTTTGAAAAGCAGCACAAAGGGGAGCGTCTGTTCCCTGTGTGGGCAGGTGTTGGTGGGATCGGGTTGACGAGGTGGGATGGGGCAGAGGGAGAAGCCGGGCTCGGCATCTGCTAACCTCCGCCGGTGTCTGGTTGCAGGTACCCAGACTCGGCTGGGAAAGGGGGTCAGGGGCACAAAGCGTTTCGGGACGCTGCTACAGCAGCTTTGCTGGGGGTGTCAGGATGGTGGGGGGCATCTGCCTGCCCCTCCACTGCCCTTTGAATGGGGAAGGGGAACCCTGTCAGGCTGCCTATTTCCAGGTCACTCCTGCTAGCAGCAGAGTAACTGGGAGCCTTTCTTCTGCCAGGGGCCTCTTTTGATCTTTTCTTCTGCCTGAGCGCTAATGCCGGCAGCCGGGCGCGGGGTTAGTTACAGTCCCCTGACAGCAGCGCCGGGAATTGGAAGAGGTGCCGGTGCCGCAGCGGGTGGGAGGCTGCGACGAGGCTTTGTCCAGGCAGGGAGGGGACAGGGCAGGGGGGTGTCCTGATCTATTCGTGCGGCTTTAATTTTTTTTGTTTGCCAAAGCCTTTTTGAAGAGAGAATCAGTGCAGCCAGCTGCTCTCAAGCTGCTGCGGTGAATGGGGCAGGGGCTGAAACCTGCTCTGGGTCAGGGCTGGTGGAGGGAACAGGTGGGAAGCAGGGAGGGCACTACCGAGGGAGGGGAGCCGAAATTAAGCCCAGCACACCTCTGCTACCCTCCAGCCCACCCCACTCCCTCCCTCAGCCCGGAGAGGGCATCTGTGCTGCTCCACAGCCTGCCCAGGTGTGAGGTGCTGCACAAACAGCCCCTGCTCAGGCAGGATCAGGGCAGCTCCTGTAGCAGAAGGAATCCCTGGGGATGTCTGCAGTGTTGCTGGGCTCCCCGGGGAAGCACCCAGCCTCGACCTCCCTCCTGTGTCAGTGGTGTTGACACTTCTCCCTGAACCTGGCCTCACAGCGTCCCCAGGCTGTGACTCAGTTTTCTCTTTGGAAAACTTTCTTCCTCCCTTTCCTGGAGGAGCAATCCCTTTCCCACAGGTTCCGAGGCTCAGCTGGGCAGTGCTGGGGGTGCAGGAAGTCCGTGGGGATGGAGGGGGACGATGGTGCAGGGCTGTGCCAGCTCCGTGGCC